ATGAGATGCTTACATAAAAAAAACCTGCTTGTTGCAAAATATGAACAGGAACAAAACCAGTGCTCATTATTTGTTAAGTACCTGTCAGCATTATGAGACTGTAATGCTAATAAATTACATTCTTTTTGAAATTCATTTCTCTATGAAGCAAGTTGCCGTCCATGACATAATAATTTAAATGTATTGATTTTATATGCAATTACCTAAATAAAATAATTAATTTATAATACATTTAGACAATAAAAAGCAAATTACAGTCAGACCTCATTATAGTCACTCTTGATATAGTCACAACCTTGATATAGTCACTCTGTTTTTTGTTCCTAGCTTATATAAAACATATAAATTTTGATCTTCATATAGTCACAACTTTTTATAATCACCAATTTTTTGTTTCCTGACCTAGTGATTATATCAAGGTCTGACTGTACATCTATATATAATACCTTTTTTGTGATAATAAAACATAAGAAGTCTAAATGAGGACAATTAAATTTATAAAGATAATTTCTCTTTAAAAATTTCCAATGAGATTCTATCACCATCGTAGTGCACAAAATTCCAATATAATCAAATGATGATCGTGCCCAGAGACACCAATGCTTTGGGGCATACCACTTACACCAGAAATATGCCCATACCATAATCAGATTGTTATTGCGGCAATATGTATACATTTCTGTAACACATTCGATCCATATTGCATTTTTATCTAATATGAATATTTTGTCTTCTTTAGGTATAAGCATGTGTCGATTAAAATGGTTTGTAATAAGATATTTTATGTGTATACGAGTATCTTGATCAGCAAGTTGACATCTTGATTTAGTTGAATTGGTTTTGTCAACTGCAACTGGCTTCCATAAAGAATCAATTACAGGACATCATTCATGCGCCTCAACTAAATTATATCATACTACTTGTATTTTTTTTGTTTAAGATGATAATTTTTGCTCTACTGCATGTTTAAGGTGCCACAAACACAACTGCACCTTCATATTAGTCCAGACAATCTTTGCTGCTTAATTTGTGTCATATTTTTATCCATATAGAATATGCCCACATTTGTTAATCCTTTCGCTTTTAATGCTGCAAACCATTTCGTTATAATGCCTGTAATATTTCGATTTTTACCGGATAGTATGAACAAATAAGAGATAGGAAATCCTACACCGTCAATGATTGCAAGAGCTCCATAAAGTTCATATTTAAGCTTATTAGTATTGTATGTTGCATCTATCATAAATTCTGTTAGCTTATCTAATGATAAGATATTATAAAATGTAGTTACAAAAGCAAAAGTATGTTCATCAAAAAAAAGAAGCTCATAATTTTGTTTTTGTAAATACATTTTTACGGAAACAGGCTCATCATCACACGATCTATATTCTGCCTGTGTTATTTTTGCCCACCAGTAATACATCTGTTTAATTGTTAAAAATTCATATCCTTCAATATGCTGATCTTTAATTAATTGGTATATATCTGGTATGCTTTATTGAACACAATTATTTATATAATCTTTGATCTTTTTCGTCACATTAAATTTTTTAGATCGTAGATGTAGAAGATCATGAGATATGTTGACGAGTACAATATTATTTTTGAAATCAATTTTAATTGTAATAGAACCTTTACATTTATAGCATTCAATATATGGTTCAGTACTATGTCGCTTTGAGGCATCTTTCACTTTTTTATAATACTTGCACAATTCTTCTCGAGCATTACACCAATATGTAAATAATATATAATCCTGTTTTTTGCTGTTATATTTTGATTGATAAACATATGTATACCCATCACCATTACTAACAGTGTTAACAATTGAATTAGAAATATGTAAATTTCTATTCTGTTCAGTAGCATCAATTAACACTTCACAAATCAATTCAAAATTAATATTAAATTTGACTTGAAATTTAGTCGTCCCTTCAAAATCATCGTTTATATTTTTATATTCTAAGAGAATATCATAAACATAATCTGTGATATTTGCAAAGTCGATTGTGCTTTCCTCTTCATTCATAAAATTATCAACCTCTTGCTTTTTTCGTTTTTTTGCTTGAGAAACATTGCTGCGGCAATTTTTGCAATGGTCCCGATTACCATCTTCAAGAATAAATTCTACAAGCGGTTTTAAGCAACTGCATCTCATGCATATTAAGGTTTCTTCCAAAGGGGTTTTATTTTTTATTTTTTCCATTAAAATAAAATTTTGGAAAAAAGAAAATGATTGATTAGTAATAATAAGAATGAACGTATATAATTGCAATAAACTTTCGTGCATAAACTTTTGTGCATACATAACTCATTGTCATGTGTCAGAAATCACAAGGCAGAAGCCCCGATTACTGGCGACGCTGGTGTTGCTCAAAATTCTGGGGTCCTGCAAAACATTAAAAATCTACAAAACATATCTGTATTTAGAAATGATTAACAAATTCTTTCGATCAAGTCTTTGATGATCAGTGATTATTATTTTATCTGGCCGATAAAAGATTCGATGAAAATTACCAAATATTTAGCATTGAGGCCTTTAAATTTATATTGGGTTACTAATTTTTGTGCCTAAAAATCTTATTTTTACTATCGTTTGTTATAGCATCTTTGATTTTACAGATGTATGTGCTTATTTATGTTTTTTTTTAAAAAAAAATATTGAATCATCAATAAGTCACGCAGACCAATTGATTCCAAGATTTTTCGTACAGAGGCATTTGTTCCTGGTACCTACCTTTTAAAGTATTGTTCAGGGTGCTACACAAAGTCACGATAACAGATCACCCAATCATATGCGGACCATATGTTGTACAATCTCTGTTCCTGGTATATAAATAACAAACACAATTCAAAAATTTACAGATTCTTGCCAGAATGTAATTAGAATGTAATTAGAACGTAATTAGAATACATTAGAATACATTCAATTTATTAATAATCATTTTGGCTGAGTTTTTTAAATTACTCATATTAAGCATAGTGTGTACTTGCTTCACAACTAGAAATTCGGCATAGCATGCACTCGCTTCATATCAGAAATTCAGCATGAAATATACATATATATTTGGTTAGAGCATGTACCTTAATATCCATAGATCAAATTACAATTAGCGTTAGTGTTAATAAATGACATTTTATATATAGTATTTTAACTCAACAAGAGATATGATGAAAATTATAGTTAACAAGTGCCAGTTCAAATCTGGCAGCCCTCAAATGTGACCTAAACATCAAATCATTTCATCAACCCAATACAGCAATAAAAAACTATGAAAAAAAATGGAAAATCCTCAAAATCTAATGAATATATGTGATAATTCACATTAGGCCACCAGTATTTATGCTAAAAAATCATCCTTTTACCATCATTTATTATAAAATCTCTAATTTAATGGTGTTCTGGGTTTTATTTTCATTCATCTTATATATGTATGGTAGGCATAATATATTTTCACGTATATAAACACAGGTGCAATAGTCAAGCCACCAGTATAAGGTGTGAAATGACATGCGAAAAATAGGCAACACATAACAATATGTGATGAATAGAGTCACGCGGACCAATCAATTGCTGAGAATCATACACGCATATTAACTTGCCTGTAAACCATACACTACATACTTTGTACTCCATTCCTGGTACATAAACAACATGGAACATGAACATGATTCACATTCTTTACATTTGCGTTTAACGGTTTTTATTTTGTTTCCATTTTTGATACATATGTTTATTTTGAATTACTAATTTGGTTTGATAAAAAATTTTTGTACATGTCTGTTTTATGGGAAATTTTATATATAAAGGCATGGAAAATTCCTTGGTGTACATTATAATCTGAATAACATTTTTATAATAAAAAAAATTTATTAAATATATTATATATAATTTTTTTTTAATAATTATTTTTGTAATCAAAAGAATTTAAACACTTTTATTTTGACAAAAATCCAAAGAAGTCCTGAAAAAAAAACTTGAAAATTTAAAAATATTTTATTAACAGATAAGTATATTTATAATATAATTTTAAAAGTTATAAAATTTTAATATATAAATATTATAAAATATTTATATTTATTTTTTTATTTTATTTTTAATATAATAATAAATTTTGGATTCAAAATATTTAAATTTTTTGGTTGCAAAATTATAATTTTTTTATATTAAATATTTAAAATTCTTTTTATAATATAAATTTATATTTGGATTGTCAATTTGGCATGTTAATTAATAGAAAACAGTCAAAGTTGTTTTTTATAATAAATATATATTAAGTAAAAGATTTTTTTCACTACATAAAAAAATTAATTTTGTTATAGTGAACCTTATTATATAGTGAATTTATAAAAAAAAATTAATATATAGTAAAAAAATAATAATTTTATTATAATTAAAATAACTTATAATTGTAAATTCATTATTAATTATGTAAAAGATTTACTTTAACAAGAAAATTATTATAACAAGGTTCACTATAACAAGTTATATATTTTTTTGATTGTTTTCTATTAAGAATTATAAAAACTGTTTCCTATTAATAATAATTATAATGACTGTTTCTATTAGTACATAGTGCAATTTACAATTTTGTATATTTTTTTGTGTATATGCATAAATGTACATAACATATATATATGTAATTTTTGGTTACATTGTTTTTTGTTTGTATCAAATTCTGTCATAGAATTTTGTTATAGAATTCTGTACAGAATTCTATATAGAATTATACTGGTACTAGAGTGGACTGAAAAATGTAATGTACATATATGTGTATATGTGTCATTTTTTCATGAATCATATGGGCACATATGTGCACATATATATATATCAAATATATAATCAATTCAATAAAATGAACATTATAAAGTTTTAAATTTTCACATTAGTTCTGTATAGTAAGTGTGAACTCTTGGAAAAAACTTTAGTTTTTTCAAAAAATCTGTTGCATGATTATATTTGGAAGAAATTATGAATCTGAATGAAGTTTCTTAAAAATTATAATTAATTCATTTAAAGTTTTAAAAAACTCAGCTTACAAATTTCATATAGATATTTTTTTAAAGATTAATTTGGTTCAAATTACATTGAAAGTATATCATGACAGAGTTATCTTGACATCAAACATATACCAAGGTTATATATTAATGCAATTATCAATATTTTTATCAGCATATGCTTGAAATTTAAAATTTTTATTTGACTTTATTAAAACACATAAAATTCAAAATACCAATTGAATTTTCTGAAAGAACTTGTCTTTTATCTATAAGAATATTTTTATATACAGAGAAGTTTTGCTCAATATCAACTTCTGAAACAGGAAGCCAAATGTAAACTAAGGCTATTTGTAATAAACTAGAAGGCAATTAGCTTTTTTTTTCTAATAAGAATCTAAATCGAATTTATTATCATAATTAAAATTTTCATTCAGATTACAATAAATTCCCCATTCACATATAATTGTATAGTTTGGATTTTTGAATTCAAGAATACATTTATACAAATTAATATCTTATCTACTTTGTTGTAAATGAAAATACTGAGGGTCAAAATATTGAATCACCTTAAATAAAGATAAGACAGGATATTGGTCAATATGTTTTTTAAATTTATTTAATGCTAATAGATATGCCTCTCAAAACCCAATTATATATTGTGAAGAATCTAGATGTGATGTACTAAATTTAATTAATATTTTATTATTTAAAGGTGGATCAACTGTACCAGATTGTAGTTGTGCTTCAAGTTGTGTTAAATAATTTGATATAAAAGGTGTTACAGGTTTGTTATAAAGTTTAAAAAATTCTAAGATATTAAAAGACTAAATATAAAAAAAAATTTAAATTTTTTTTTTAAAAAAAAAATAAATTATTATTACTTACTATTATGTGCCTTTGTGCATTAAATGTAATAAATATAATTAAAATTTCAAATTCAGATACAAGTAAAGGATTCTTAAAAATAGATATTAATTTGTAAACTGTTTTGCTTTCATTACCAATAAGCTTTTCATTTAAATAAAAACTTATTAATTGAGGAACATATTTGTCAATCCAGAAAACAAAATTGAACCAAGAATTCTATCTTATTTTAACAAAAAATAGAGGTAAGATTGATAATATATCAAGATTTTGTAAATTTAAAAAGGAAATCCATCTTCTTTTGCATACATTATTATGAGTAAATAAGACTTTAATTTGCATAACTACTTCATCTAGTAATTTAAAATTTTTGTGATCCACTCATGTTTCACCAACCAGATTTAATATGTGTGCCAAACAATAATTGTGTTTCATTTGAGTAATTAAAGAAGACAGAATGCTAAATGTCTTTATTATATAAAAGATATTATCTGATATAAAAAAAATAATATTTTTGAATGAAATATTATAGAATTGAAGAGTTTTCATCACTAATTTTGCAACAATCATACTATTAACAACAGATAAATGTTCAGTCTTTACAAGTTTGGTTTTATTATAAAAACTAAACAATATATTAACTGCTACCCTTTCACAAATATCAGGTGACTCATCGACTATTATAAAAATTCACTGTTCATTAGAAGTTTTTTTAAGTTTTCAATTTCTGAATCAAATATGATTGGCAAATATTTACTATACAATTGTGTAGATTCAACAATTGCACTACCTATGGAATGATAAATATAATATATAATTTAATATCAATAATAATAAATGTTTATATAATTAAATAATATATATATGTACCATTTTTGTAATATTTTAGCAAAAACAACTTGAGTTTATCAACTTTTTCAAGTGAAATGTTGGCTTGTGTTAAGGCATAAACCAGATCTATATTAATTGTTTTATGCTCTTCTCTACAAGCATTAATATTAGAAGTATTTTGACTTGTTTATTGTAGAATTTCTTTAGATTTACATTCATTTGTTCTATGTTTACTAGTTTTTAAATGTTGATCAAGTAAAAACTTGTTTTTATGAATTACGATAATTTTACAGCAAGTACAAAACAAATTTTCATCGCTGACATAAAAATTTTTTTTGTACTCTTCATTTTCATTAATATGATCATTGTGTGTAATCATTTTTGAAAAATTGAAAATTTTAAAAAAAAATCTAGGAAAAATTCTCATATTTTCATTTGAGCTTTATTTAATATCAAAAATTTTGAACTCCACATTGTTGATTTTCCAAATCTCAAGAGCGAAACTAGTTTTAGATAGTTTTAACTTTCTGGTACTAAGAGTGAAACTAATTTCAAATAGTTTCGATTTAATGGGTATAAACATTAATGCCTTTTTTTGGCAAAGAATTTAAGCGAACGTTTTATTATCATATTTATTTAGTAAATATAATGTTTTAATTCTAGTATAATATAAATTAAAACTATTTAAAATTAATTTGGCTTATAATGTTACTTCTAAAAGGCTTCGTAGAAACAGACTTACCATTATATACTGCGGCACATATGTGCACATATGATTTACGAAAAAAATGACACATATGCACATATATGCACATCACATTTTCCAGTCCACTCTAACTGGTACGTACAAGTTTTTTCGAATATTGTACAACCACACTAAAAATAAAAAATTGCGGTATGTTTGTTGCATTACCGTTTTTTTTTTTATCGTAATTTTATTTTTGCAAATTCAAATGGCACAAAAAATTAACGACGCTTTTAAACAACTAAACTTCAACGAGTGTAAAAAATCTGCAGATACAAACGAAGCAGACGGAAATTATTTGCTTGGTTACTGTTACGAATTTGGAATTGG